TCTGGTTGTATGAAATAGACTAAGTATTGTAAACTCGTTCTCATTATTGGATCCTAGAGGAAAAATGTGGATTATTTGAGTTCTCCCTGTGTGCTCTGTAACACCCTAGGTGTTAGGCCTGCATAATTTCACTTGCATTGCATGAGCATAATCATCAAGCATTCATATATAAGCTTTTACATATGAAATGTACAACTAAAACATGTGAAACATGCCTTGTTATTTTATGTTTCCTTATGTGTATGTTTATGGTCATGTGTGAGTAAGTGTAAGTGGTTGATGTTGGTCACTAAAACACCTTAGCTACACTTAGGATGACTAATGGAACAATGTTCATGTAGATCACTTTATCTAATTAAGCTCCTAAGTGATGATATGTTTGTTGACCTAGGAAGTATTATATGTAACCAATGTATGAAATGCTTGTGTGACCTTAGGAATACCTTAAACATGTTTAGAATGTCACTATGAACAACTTTGGTATTCATGACTAAGGCTAGTTTGGATGTCATCATTTGAAAGTGGTATGTTTGACCTAGGTTGAACTATGTCATAGAGAGTTTGCATGGCAAAGCACCCTTAAGCAAAGTTGTAGTATTTGAGTAGAGCAACAACTTTTATTTTTGGGTCATGAGCTAATTTAGTGCCTAGCTTGGTCATTTTGAGCTCACAAAAATCAGCAAAACACAATTTTTCCACACTTAGAAATTTTCTAAGTCATGAGGAATTTATAGTTCGACGTGCCTGACTTTGGAGTGATGTATCTTCCTAACCATTGCGATTTAGACCTTGATCATTTAAGAGATGTTGGAGCTAGTATGTAGATCTTCAACTTTTGTTAAGAAAGTTTTCGCTAATGAGCCGTGGATTAGGAGCCTAAGCATCATCAAATGGCGTTATCAGTCATGGAAATGGGCTCTAATGGCCTACTCGGCCTAGATATCAATGGCCGACCGTGGATAGAGTCTGGCCGCCGCATGGCCCCCGCCGTGGTGTGCTAGCGCACGCTTAAGGAGCACCTATGTGACTCAGTTCTTCCACTCCTTCACGCTCTCTCCCTCTCCACTGCTCTCTCTCACTCTCGCCGTCGAGCAACCGAGCTGCTCCACCATCGCCTAGTGCCCGCTCCACTGTGCCATTGCCGCCTCCATCTAGCCAGTAGCTTCGCTGTGTTCCCCTCTAGCTCCTCGACGCATTGGAGTGCTAGACGAGCTACAGTGAGGGTGAAATCGCCGTTCCCGTCCTCACCGGAGAGCTCGGCTTCCATGGCTGCCTCCACGCGAGCCCACCACTGCTCGGCTCGCTTGCGCTATACTTCTGCTTCCTCGCATTAGGGCTTGGTTAGGATAGGTACTAGCTCATGGAATGATGTTACTGTGAATGGTAGCCTCGCCGGTGCAGAACACGACGACTAGCGCTGTCGTGCTCTCACCGCCGCACCGCCGTGCATGTGGACACCCTCCCCGGTGCTTCCACCCGAACCCTAGATAGTCTAGATAGGGTCACATCATCACTGCGGAGCTCGTGCACTCCTCACCTAGCCTTGCCATGGCTGGAGACGGCCGGTGCACCTCCGCTCAGCACCACCGTGCCGCCATGGCCGGCGACAAGCATGCTTCGTTGCATCTATGCTGCCGCCACGTGTACTAGTCGACGCGGCTTAGTGAGTAGGTCACATAAGTGGGGTTGGTTTCGCCGGAGATCTCGCCGTCGGCTAGATAGCGCCGGTCGACCACCGTGCTCTATTTCGGCTCAGTGATCGGTGGACCCCGCTGACCCGTGGGTCCCCTCTGTCAGCGAGTTCAGTTAGGGTTTAGTTTTATTTCTTTTCCAGATTTTTGTGCTAACTTTGGAAAATCATATCTAGAGATAGGAATGTCCAATTTTGGTGAACCAAATTTTATTGTGTTCCTCATGAAGTGTAGTATTTTATAAAAATATAAAATGTATAGTTTCTAGTATTTTTATAGGTGAATAAAATATAGCTAGATAAGTGTGTTTTGAATGTTTACAATTTTGTAAAATGTGTAACTTGAGCTACGAATGTGGTAAAATTGTGATTCCAATTTTGCTGGTCTTGTGTTGACATCGCCTCCTTGGCCAGCGCCCTCACGCCGTCGCCCTCGCCTCGTAGTCACGGGTGGCCGGGTAGGTGAGTCACGGGTGTCGTCACGGGTTAGACACGGTTTTGAGTAATCACCGACGTGGGCCGGCCCATTACGACAATTGTCTGTTCTCCAACGCTTCTACTCCATTCCGAGCACTGAGCAAGCATATTAGTCCCAAATTGCCTATCCACCGATGTAGTGCTCTGCTTAAAAGTTGAAGGCTGCAAGCTCAGTCGAGCTCACTACCTATACGACCACCATGACCACGCTGCAGTTTGCTGGGCCTGTTCTAGCTAGGCCGGCCTTGCTGGGCTCCCTTGTTTGGTTGAGTCTTATGGGCTCCCCTATAGGGTTGAACCTAGGCGAGGCCAATGGCTTGGCTAGTACATAGCCAATACTTTTGTGTTTTTTAACAATTTTTGTTTAACTTTTCGAATTCAACGTGTTTTTAACAATTTTTGTTAGGTTATTTGGATTCACACCATTACGATTTTCGTTCTTATGAGATGTACCATTACAATTCACCTATTTGGAAACTTGCCATTACAATTGTTCCCGTACCCGGTTCATGCCATTTTCTACTCTTGGAACAACACCGGACCCACTTGCAGACTGCCATATTTTTGTATAGCCAAAAATACCCCTCTAACTACCCTTTCCCCCACTCAATGACATGTGGGCCCACACAGTCATCCCCTTCCTCTAACCGGTCACCACTTCCCACCTACGCGTCTTCATGCGCTTTAGCTGACCAAGGGCTCAACGGAGCAGCGGATTCGAGTTCCTCCCGGTCGCGCGCCCGGATCTGCCCATAGCTGCGGTGGGCCAACATGTCCGCACGCTGAACAAGCTCCTCGACTGTCCTAGGAGAGCTCCGCCCACACTGCTCCGAGCCTCCACGGTCGCCACCGCCCAAGTCCTCACCAGCGTGCAGCCCTTGGCCCTACCATGCTGTCGCTCCTGGTCGGCCCGGAGCTCGTGGCGCACCTCCGTATCACCTGCCGTCTGTCGTAGGGCGGACTACGACGCGACCGCGGCCGCCGGCTCGCCCAAGCTGTGGCTACGCTCGCCAAGCCGGACCTGAGGCGCTGACGACAAGTGGAAGGGGGTCCGCCCCGATGTCGCAGACTAAGATGAAGGGAGAAGGGGGGGGCTCTAGGTGGACAGGGGCGCACCGGTGGGCAGGGGCCATCTCCGGTGAGGTGCAGATGGGGGGGGGGGGGCGGGCAAGGGAACGCTGATGGGAGAGGAGGAGCTCCGCCCGCCATGGCGCGTGGGAGCTCTGCCCATATGGCATGCAGGAAGCTCGAGGCGGAAGAGCTCCGGCCTCCATGGTCAAGCATGGGAGCTCGAGGCGGAAGAGCTCCGCCCTCCATGGTCACGCAGAGCTCCTCCCCGCCATGGCCGAGGGGCACGACGGCGGCCGGCGCCCACTGGTCGCCATGGGAGTTGGGGAAGAAGCTGTCATGGAGAAGACAGGGAAGGAAGGAGGAAGAAGATGACTAGTGGGGTCCACACGTAAGTGACATAGAGAGAGTAAGGTGGTAGGGGTAGTTTTGTCCATACGAAAATACAATGGTGCCGTGTACGCCTGCAGCTGGGCCCAAGGTCTCTCCGGACGTATACCGTGGCATATTTCAAACATACGAAGAATTGTAATGGTGAGATTCAAAATAGATGAATAGTAATGTTATTTCTCCAAATTTCGAAAATTGTAATGGTATCCATCAAAAAAACCCTTTGTTGTTTAACTGTTTTAATTCAACATTCCAACAACATTTAAAATATTTTGAAAACAATTTCTATCATGGTTACTATTGTTCTCATTCTATGAATCAAAACGATGTTTCCGAAACATGGAATTTGCCCATGTTGCAGTTCTCAGGCTGCTAAGGTTTGGCACCCTCTTGGCTCCACCGCTGCTCATAATCTATTGAGTTGGCCCGTCATTGCCTATGTCTTAGTGGCTAGTATGCTACATGTTGTGGTGTCGTACACTGAGCGTGCCACGTAAACATGACCAACAGATTCATATGTAGGGTGTGTTTGGCTTAGGGCCACACTTTACCTGCGTAACCTTTTGGCAGGTGTTTGGCTCTACGTCACAAACAAACCACGATATAGTTTATAGTAACCTTACATAACAGAATTAACCTTTTCTAATACTTATATGATTTAGTATTATATATTTTACAAGTTTAAGTTGTTTGATTATTTTAGAAATTAGTGAAAAGCTAATAAGTGATCTTGCTTTTTGATTGTTTTAAGCTGTTTAATACAAGTTTAAGCTGTTTGATTATTATATATTATAGTTAAAACTATTTTAAAACCCATTTACAATTTTCTATATTTTCTCTTTATATATTATAGATTGATGGGCCCACTTTCCCTATTTTATATATTATAGACTGATGGGCCCACTTTCCATATTTTCTTTTTATATTTTCCTTATTTTATTTTCCATTTTTTAGGTACGGGATTTTTTCTCCTACGGAAGACCCGGACTTCTTTTTACAGAGTAAAGGGCAGGGTTGCGGGGTGGCATATTTTCCTTTTTTATTTTTCCCTTTTCATTTCTTTTCTTTTAGGTACGAGTTTTTTTCTAACGAAGAGAAGGCTGGGAGTTTCTTTCCCTTTTAATTTATATTTTTTAGGTACGAGTTTTTTTTTTGTACCGAAGAGAACCAAACCACCGAGAAAAAATTCAGAGCGCGCGAAACCACCGCGAAAAAAATCAGAGCGCGCGGCCTCCCCCACGAAAAATCAAACTGGCCAGCTAATTAATCCCTCCCTAACACACGGTTTATATTCCAACTAAATCACGGGATAAGACGAGCCGCCGCCGCAACCAAGCGGTTCGTTTCCTTCGCATCTTCTCCACTCCGAGGCGCAATGGAGAAGACCGCACCAAGGCCCTGTACCACCAGGAGGTTGCCATCGCCGCCGCCTCCGCGGAGGCCGTCTCCTCCGTCCAAGAGGTCGCTGTCTCCTCCGTCCAAGAGGTCACCGTCTCCTCCGTCCAGCAGGAGGTTCTCCACGCGGTCCCGCCCTGAAGGTGTCGTAGATACACCTCGTCGTCGACAAGATGGACGCGAGAATCAAGAAGATGAGCAACCCAGGTACCAGTCGATATGCAGTTGTGTGTGTGTTTACCCTTTCGTTTACTGAATGCCGCCCAACCTCACCTCCCGCGCCACCGGCGTCGCCTACGTTGTGGCAAGCGGCCCTGGCACCGGACGCTGAGACCTCACAGCCACGGACGCTGAGACGAGTGCCTCTGTCTCCAGGCACCCGTGAGCAGCGGCCACACGCCTCCCCGCAGGACACTGGTCCCGATGGCGATGGGACGGCGGCGACGGCAATAGGTAGGCTCTGTGCGGACGGGTGGCCAGGAAGCTAGATAGTACCTGTCCAGTCTCTCTCAACTCTGCCTGTCTTGCCTCTCCCACCTCCTAGCTGTTCGATGAAATGCCCCTGTGCTCTGTGCTCATATGTCGATGGAAATAATACTTACTGTAGATTTTTTTTAAAACGGGTACTTACTGCAGATTCCTTTTTTTAGAGGACTTACTGCAGATTCTTCCACAGCAAGTCAAACTACTTCATCATTGGTGTACGATTGTAGCCTAACTGAAGCTGTGAAAGTTTTTTTTCCCCTAGAAAATCAAATCTAATTAATGAGACTTATTCTACTGGACAATTGATAATTTTAATTGTAGATACTATGATGTTTTAACTTATCCATAGTCTTAATTGTTGTGGAAGAGATATTTCATTCTGCTGCTCTTACATTTTTGTTACAAGTTCTATAAGAAGGGAACGGTTGGTGATTAAACAGCTTTGTCTAGAACTTCTCACAATATGTGGTAATCACTTGATCTTTTGTCATGATTAAAACTCCATTGCTATTGCCCATTGATTGATTCCTTGTTTTTAGATGGTAATGGAAATTTCTGACACTTTACTTTTCTAATCTTGTAGTATAGAGGAAATACACTGAATATTTGAACTGTTCTGCGTGCATTAGCTCTCTAAAACTGAGAATAAGTATTTGAGATTTGTCAAACAAACCATATTGTAGCAAGATCAGTTTTCAAATGGTACTAGAGTCTCGCTGGTACATCAACCTCAATGTCATTCTTGAATTAAAGCATTTCAAAAATAGGCAAAAATATCTCAATGACATCATTTCTGAATGAGTATCCTGAGCTACATGCCTACCATGTTTTATCTGTTCTGACTTTTCCACAGTTCTAATCTGAAGATTAACCTATTTTTGATGTTTTAGATTCTATTTGTATGTTTTAGATTCTATTTGTACTATAAGACTGTAACAGTTCACTGCAGGAAAAAAAACTACAAGAATTCTCTGGTAAAGCAAAATGTAACTTTTCTATAACTTTATCAGTGCATTCATTTGTGGCCAATATTATCTACTTTTTCTGTTGTATTTTTCTCGATTATATAAAAAATACTGAACACAATTGTAGTTGTATCTTTATATTTGAAACAAGTGTAGAGCCATAGACGTGGGGAGCAGTGGTCTTTTGTCCAGAAAGACCCAATTACAAATGACCTTGCTGCTTTGGTGGACCACTAGCTAACACTGACCAAATTTCTGTACCTCCGGCAATTTTTCATACATATTTGGCTTTGTTCATGTCTATCTAAAATGATTTTTTTTTTTGCATTGTAGTGAGATTTACGTGAGGGGCTGATAGCATTGGAATTTCTATTTCAGCCCATGAGCATTTATGTTCTATCATATATTTTTGCTCCAATTGTGTATGTTTATCTGAATGTTTTTTTTGACAAAACGTTTATCTGAATGTTTGATTTTGCATCAAAAGCTGACGATCAGGCCATCTACATAATCAAACCTAAACAAATTTTGCTCCAGATCTACCCAGCCATTGCTAATCTAGATGATCTTATATTGTTCGTTTATCCCTGTACTTTAGTTAGATATTCTCTGCATGTGGTAAGGGATAAGGCTACACCTTTTTACGCAAAAAGTTCTTATATTTTCTGTGAATGATATAATAATTACGGATTATTGCAGACAGATAGAAAATCATGGCGATCGAAGAGCTAGCGATGAGTTCGATGTCGTGACATCGATCATCGAAATTAGAGGCTTTAAGGCATGTTTTTGATTTAATGTTTGTAATGATTCCTGTACTTTCAGTTATAGTTTACAGCAAAGAAATACATGTCCTTGCTGCTGCTGCTGTTGCTCAAACCTGCAGAAAGTGTCCAATGTTAATCAACTCCCCTGTTCTCATGTAAACATGAGTAAAACCTTGATTAGCATCTACCATGCTGTCTATGTTTGATTCCTACTATGTGATATTACTAATGCATGTCATTTAGACTTTTTCAGGACGATCAACCTTGAGAAAGTCTTGGCAAGCTGAATTGAATCAAATATTGTGCAATGAGAAAGATCTCATGTTGATCTATGCTAAGAGACATGTATTTTTGTTTATGATTGCCTTTTTCTACCATAAGTTAGTGGTTTGTAATGCAGTTCAAACTTTGCAATTACCTTTTTTTAAATAGGAAGGCCTTTGACTTCCTTATATTGTACAAACTATTGAATGCTGATGGATCCAAGTTATTAATATGATTGCTTTTTGTGCCATTGAATTTTGTAATTTTATGAATTTCTGTGCAATGAATTCATTCTGGTACCATAAACATAATATCGATGCAATAGTTGGTTGTGCATCCAACCTCATGTCGATGCAATAGTTTGTATTGCATCCGACCTCGTGACGATGTAATAGTTTGTATTGCATCCAACCTCATGTCGATGTAATACTTTGTATTGCATCCAACCTCATGTCGATGCAATAGTTCGTATTGCATCGAACCAAAATGGTGATGCAATAGGTTCTATTGCATCGAACCTAATATCGATGCAATATAGTCTATTGCAGCGCATGTTGGCCGTTGCAATAGATGTATTGCATCAACATGATTTCGATGCAATAAGCTATTGCATCTCTTAGTTTTGATGCAAGAGACAACGGACGGCCGATGCAATAGCTGCTTCTCGCATCAGCCACAAGAAGCCGATGCGAAAGGCTATTGCATCAAGACCACTTGCATCGGCTCGCATCAAACGAGAAATTGATGCGATATCAAGCTATCACATCTATTTTAGACCTATAACATCAAAAATTGGCCGGTGCAATAGGGTACAAATTTAGTAGTGATAGAGTCTGGCTGTCACATGGCCATCGCTGGCTAACATCGGCCCCCAGCTGCGATGTGCTGGCGCATGCTTAAGGAGCACCCGCGTAGCTCAGTTCTTCCACTCCTTCACGTTCTCTCCCTCTCCACTGCTCTCTCTCTCACTCTCGCCGCGGAGAACCGAGCGCCGCCGAGCAACCGAGCTGCTCCGCCATCGCCTAGTGCCCGCTCCACTGTGCCATTGCCGCCTCCATCTAGCCAGTAGCTTCGCCGTGTTCCCCTCTAGCTCCTCGACGCATTGGAGTGCTAGACGAGCTACGGTGAGGGCGAAATCGCCGTTCCCGTCCTCGCCGGAGAGCTCGGCTTCCATGGCTGCCTCCACGTGAGCTCACCACTGCTCGGCTCGCTTGCGCTATACTTCTGCTTCCTCGCATTAGGGCTTGGTTAGGATAGGTACTAGCTCATGGCATGATGTTACTATGAATGGTAGCCTCGCCGGTGCAGAACACGACGACTAGCGCTGTCGTGCTCTCACCGCCGCACCGCCGCGCATGTGGACACCCTCCCCGGTGCTTCCACCCAAACCCTAGATAGTCTAGATAGGGTTGCGTCATCATCACGGAGCTCGTGTGCTCCTCGCCTAGCCTTGCCATGGAGACGGCCGGTGCACCTCTATGCAGCGCCGCCGTGCCGCCATGGCCGGCGAGGAGCATGCTCCGTTGCATCTGTGCTGCCGCCATGGGTACCAGTCGACGCGGCTTACTAAGTAGGTCACGTAGGTGGGGTTGGTTTCACCGGAGATCTCACCGTCGGTGAGATAGCACTGGTCGACCGCCGTGCCCTATTTTGGCTCACTGACTGGTGGACCCCGCTGACCTGTGGGTCCCCTCTTTCATCGAGTTTAGTTAGGGTTTAGTTTTATTTTTTTCTAGATTTTTGTGCTCACTTTGGAAAATCATATCTAGAGATAGGAATGTCAAATTTTGGTGAACCAAAATTTGTTGTGTTCCTCATGAAGTGTAGTATTTTATAAAAATATGAAATGTATAGTTTCTAGTATTTTTATAGGTGAATAAAATATAGCTAGATAAGTGTTTTTGAATGTTTACAATTTTGTAAAATGTGTAACTTGAGTTAGGAATGTGGTAAAATTGTGATTCCAATTTTGCTGGTCTTGTGTTGACATGCTCTAGCTAGGAAAAATAATAAACTTGCAATACACTTGATTGAAATATGATATTTCTATGTATCTATTAATAAATGGTGTTTTCTAAGGAAAATTATAGGGATAAAAATAAGTAACATATGGCCATGCAAATTTTTGGTATAGTATTAGGGCACTAGTAGGAAGCTAGGAAAAATATAGAATCTAATGTTTGACACTTTTCTATAGGGTTAACTATTTTCACTAAAATAAACCTTGCTAGCTTGTCATTTTTGTAAAAGATGTTATACAAGTCCAAATGGTATGAAGTTTTCACAAGCATATTATTTGGATGAATATAACTCTAGTTATGGTTAAAACAAGTAGCTGATGTCTTGTAGTCCGGTAAATAGATTACAGAAGTGTTTACTTAAGTAGTAGAGAAGAGATATGCACCTACTCAGTAAAATAAGATGCACTTGTTCTTACTTTATTACCATGCTGTTGAAAGTACTTATGAGGATGCATTCATCACGTTATATCATATTACATGTGTCATTGTATATGCATTCATGATATCTTATGCCATACTCATGCATATAGGATCGATCGAGAAGATAACGTTGCTGGAATTCAATGAAGAAGAGAAAGGGGATCAGCAGGAGACTCCTCAAGCCACAGCTCCAGGAGAAGAGGAGCAGACTCCCGAAGAGCTCCCTGAGTGCCCAGATCACCGACCCACCTCTTTCCTCAAAGGCAAGCCCCAGAGCATTCTAAGTCTCCCATGTTTTACAAAATATTACTTGAGTCCTTTATGTTTCATGCATTAGGTTATAAGAGTTGATTGGAAACACTTGATGCATGGAACTACCTTGTCCAGATATATATACCTTTAACCCTATGTAGGTCTAGGATCGAATATATGCTTAGCCATGCTTAGACCGGTAGAAGTCGGGTGATTTCCTGTCACCTGTGAAATATAGGTGGATACCGAAGCACGGTTGGCTATATTTGCTATCATGGAAAAGAACCATGGGGTAATGTAAACGGAGGCCGAGCGGAGTCTATGTGTTGGATGACTCATGTGATTCCGTCTGTGCCGATTAAGGACCGTACCATTGTTGGCCCTTCTGACAAGATTGAATGCATGCCTATCATTTAGTTTGCCGGAGAACTCATTCCGACCGCAAAGCCGAGTAGCTCAACTCAGGCCAAGCCCTGCTCTGTAAAAGTGCGCACTCTGCATGGTAGTAAGGATGTGCGGGGAGCCAGGCATGAGCCCAAGGGTAGGCTAGGCCTGAACGTCCTGACAGCTGGTTGTCCCTAATTGTGTGGCGCTGGGCGAACCCGCGAAATGTGGACCTGAGTTATACCAAAGGTGACCTAAGACTACCTTGGTGGAGGTATGTCTAGGTTTGTGTTAGGAATAAATTCCCTCATGGTTGAAATCGATTTGAATCGCCGTCTCTCCCGGATAGTGAGAAACTTGGCTAGCTCCAACATCGTAGTAATTGTATTATGGAATGTGATGGTTCGGATAAACATGGAATTACTACATCGGCTATGGTTACTATTGTATGCTCTTAAATGATATACCACATGTTTGGCACAGGATAGTTGCTAATCTAGAGATGAATAGCTATAAGTAACTTGATGACCAAAGTACAACTGTATAACTGAGTTCATCGATTTTTATGCAAAATGTTGTCAAGCTACCTCCACTTATAAAGCCTTGCATAATCCTTGGAGTCAATTTATTTCTGGTTTATGATGGGTAAGTCTAGCTGAGTACCTTCTCGTACTCAGGGTTTTATTCCCATTGTTGCAGATGGTACAGTCTATCACGGCTATTGTAAAACTGCTTCTATCCCGCCGTGGATGAGGAGTGAGCCTTGGGAAGGCATCTTTAATAATCCCTCTTATATGCTTTTGTGGATTGTGATCATGTGTTGGCACTGTATTTGAACTAAGTTGGCAAATGCTAGTTTCAAACTTTAATTTGCTTCCGCTACTATCTATCGAACTTGGTTTGTAATAACCTTATTTCGTACTTTAATGAATGGATTGTAATTGTGAACTTTATGTAATATGTGACATGTATGTTGAATCATGTATGATCTTGGTGGTATGTGGATTGTTTATCGAGACCCGTCATGGTATTTGACAGACTATCGGATTTATATGGGCTCAAGTATGATAGTGTGATCACTTGTGGGCTGCCATTGTACTTGTGCTCTTATAAATTGGTTGGTTCTGCAACAGCTGGCATCAGAGCAAGATTCAACATTAATTGCCACATGTGTATTTAAAACAAAGGTTTTTGTATTCCAAAAACAGTTTCTAGCAACTAATAGCAATATAAATAGGTATTTGAAACCTAGAGTTGAAATCTAAAGTGTGCCAGTGATCACTTCCTTTATGCCCAGTTATGGACTCTTAGGTGGCTATTTAAGTACTAACATGGGGTTTTTACTTTCGTTGTCCATACGGTGTGCTATTGTATGGATGCCATTTTGCTTGAGTGGTAATGTATGGATCAAATGCCTCTACGCCAGGTAAGAAGGTAAGTTGATGAGTGGCATGACTGCAAGAAGTAAGCGTGTGGTCAGGGAGAGCTAGCTTTGATACAGCTGTGTATGCATGCTTGCATGTGTATATGGTGCGTATTTAATTGTGGGTAATAAATTTTCATCGGGTAGCTTTGATACGGAAGTATATGTATGGGTATACATATATGGAAGCATTTAGTTGCAACCTAGAGCCTAGATTTGCATTCTGCATATATAATTGTGGGGTTGGGCTAAAATGAAATTCTTGTGCAGGTACACTAACAGCGAAACGTGTAGCCCGACTAGCTACGCTATATAAGAGAGAACGTATGTATGCCACCGTGTATGTTGTTAGAAATAATTTTTCCTAAGTTTGTAAGGACGTTCGGAACGTGCATGCATCATGATAAATTATTACTTCATACTTGCATTGTTCCTCCCCTTATAGATCTCTTACTCAGTTATGTAACTCTTAACCATTATGACTTTGTCTCACAAATGTTACACATGTTGTTGGTACAGATGG